TGTCCGGTTACAGCTTTGGCAGCATCGCAACAGTTTTAAAATGTAGTACTTTAACTGTCATTTGTTTCTAATTATTTCATAATTTCCTTTATCCATGGATTATTTAGAAGTAGTTTTTTGGTTTCTAAACATATGGGAGTTTTAAAGCTATATTCTGTTATTGATTGCTAATTATACAGCACTGTGTGAAAAATATTAAGTTTTTAGAGTTTGTTATCTGCTTTACATGTAAGTTTCAACATGGCCAGTTATTACCTTTGTCCCCTATGTGCTTACAAATAACTTATATTTTCTCTGAGCTGGGTGCAAGGATCTATATATACTTTATTGGATTAAACTAGTTAATTGTTAAGTCTTTTACAGACCAATTTATTTTTTTGTCTACTTGAGTGAGCAGTTTTTGAGAGAGAAAGGTTCTCCCATAATGCCTTTAAATTATTTGTTTGTTCCCAAGGAGAACATAATTCAGTCTTCAGAAAAAGCTGTGTCTTCCGTTTATTAGGGAGAAGGTGTCGTCAGCAAATAAAAACATAACGAAAAAATTCCCTGTGAGGTAGGCAGTATCACATATCAATAAAATGGGACTTTTAAGGTTTAATTCTTTTACTAGTGCTCTTTTCAGAAAAACCTTAGAATATCTACATCTTTTCCATTTTATTGAAATTCTTAGAAAAAAGGAAAGTGACCCTTGATGGTTAAAGAGCTCCAGAAGAGAAGGAGGGAAAATTAAGAAGGATGAACTCGTGCCGGTGAGCTGCTTACTTACATACACCACCGAAAAGATTCCACTGTACCGCTTTGTTTTAACGCCAAACAGGTATTTTAACATGGAGGTGGCGACATGCACAGCTGCTGCAGTAGTGAACCCACGCACCAGGGGCTCGGTGAGATAGATGGCTACAAATCCAAACCTACAGACACCTAGGCAAAACTATTTTTTTTTTAATGACAAAGAAACAAATAAATCACATGATAGATCAGGAAGTTAAAACCAACAGAAAACATACAAAAGTTCTCTCTGGATCACTTTCTAACACTACAAACTTGTACTTGCAGCAGTTAAGTAGCTAACAAATCACTGGTTATACAGAAAACAATGGAAGGTTTGGAGTGGCTTGGAGTTCCAAAGAGCAGGGCACACCTGTACTTTCCCTGTCCCTCAGAACCAAGTGCACGGTTGTTTAGTCAATGTCACTTCCTGTTCCTTCCAAGCAGATAAGAGATGCCTTCTTTTCATAACTAACCAATCCTGCTTCAAGCTTTTCTTGCTCTTAGAATCTCTAAAACCAAATGAAGCTTCCTATTAGGTTGGTGCAAATGTAATTGTGGTTTTTGCATTGTTGAAATTTGCCTTTGATATTGGAAAACGTTCTTAAATAAATGTGGTTATGTTATATATCATTTTAATGTGCATTTCTTGCTTTGTGTTTTCTTGCTAATGACTTACTACTTGCTGTTTATTTTATATGTATTTTAGACCATGGAAATGATGTTAGACAAAAAGCAAATTTGAGCAATTTCCTTATTTGAGTTCAAAATGGGTTGTAAAGCAGTGGAAGCAACTCACAACATCAACAATACATTTGGCCCACAAACTGCTAACGAATGTACAGTGCAATGGTGGTTTAAGAAGTTCTGCAAAGGAGACGAGAGCCTTGAAGATGAGGCGTGTAGTGGCCGGCCATTGGAAGTTGACAACGACCAATAGAGAGCAATCGTTGAAGCTGATTCTCTTACAACTACATGAGAAATTGTGGAAGAACTCAACATCCGACCATTCTGTGGTCGTTTGGCTTTTGAAGCAAATTGGAAAGGTGAAAAAGCTTGATAAGTGGGTGCCTCATGAGCTGACCGCAAAT